TAGATATAACAACATCATCATCAAAAATGTTTTATTTAAAAATCTGTCAGTAAGGACGATCGATTAAGTAACACTTGAGCTTGTTTTTCAACTGGCAATATTCCCTTTCTGTTTGCCTTAACAGTTCCACCCTTGGCCATCAACCCTCCAAGATGTTCCTGAAGGGAATACAGATGTAGGGGAGTAAGGCTCTAGTAGGAAAGAAACTTTGAAGGAGATTTGGAATCTTCAATCCACAGACACATCTTTTACACTGGGTTCCACGGCCACTAAAACTCAGTGTGATTGTTCTCTGAATATAGACAGTTTTTCTCCCTGTGGCGAACTAGAGAAATAATCAGAATCTGAAACTTTTCTAGCATATTTTAAATTGAAATAATCTTGGCTCTAGCCACCAGCAGACAAACTTATTATTTGCTTGCATGTGCTCTGCCAGGTTTATAGCTCATTTGGGGACTTGTAATAACTTTGGCTTCTGTACTTCTTGAGATGACAACTGAAGATCATTTCTTTTTACTGGTTCTAAGTTTTAAGGCATTTTGGGACACTTTTTGTAATCATGTTGGAGGTCAAAGCAAGAAACAAATACTGTGGGGCAGGTGGATTTTTGTCTCCTAGATTCAATTATATGTATCTTAAGGCTTATTTTACTAGGAGGCAAAGTCTTGATTTAAGGAGCTATCACACAAGAGAGAGGCTTATAAGAGAAAGCTATTCGACAACAGTAGTTTGTCCTTAGAAATAAACATTGGTTGAATCCAAAACTGGAGTGTTTAACTGTGGAGAAGACGGGTGTAATGACCACATGCAGGACACAAGAACTGTATGTATACATTCAAAGAACCAATGATTTCCCATTTAAGATATGCTAGGAACTATTAAATGTTTTATAACTTTGATGACAATGACCCTTTTTGGAACATGATCTACTTATATAAAAATAATTTTTAATTTAAAAGCTCTCAGTTTAAATGGCTAGTCAGTTGGCTAACTTAGAGCTGAATCAGTCTGATTTGCCAGCACAACGGACAGATTTCCTCTTTTTATAATTTGGTAGATTAATCCCATCTCAGCAATGCCATTAGAAAAATATACACAAGTATCTAATATTTCTGAGCATGTGGGTTGTGACAAATTTAAATTTGTTTTAATAGTACATCTGCGTGTAAACAGCTGAAGATTTATAGTTGTTTATTAACTTAAGGATGAGGAAATGGACCACTATGGGCTAATTAAAAATAACAACTCTCAGGAAACACAGGAGCTAACTTGTTAAATGCCAGGACACTGAGAGGCAATGTTCTGTAATCTAAATTGGGTAATTTATATCTTTGTCACTTGGAGATCTGATATATATTTGAGTCAATGAATCATCCCACCGATATCCCATAACTAAAGCAAATTTTGTTTCCTTTTCACAGGCTGAGTTTTAGCCAATTGAATAATAAATCATCTTGCCTTTTCCTGAATCACAGGCAAGGGAGGCTCTTACAGGCAGAATCATAGCTAGATAAGGCCCTATAGAAGAGATTCTACCTTGTTTTAAAACAATACCCAGATTTCTTTGATTATACAATTCAATGTTTGAAATCATAATACGACTTTAAAAAAATATTTTAAATTTGTCACTGGAAAGTTGTCTTAATGCTCACAAATCAGAAATGAAGTAAGTCCTTGATGATGCCCAATATCCTGGCCAGTGCCTACAGATGGTTCTACAGTGACCAGGCATCTGAGGAGATGCTTCTCTTCCTTAAACAAGAATAACCTTACAAACAACTTACAGTTTACCAGATGCATTCACATGTATTTTCTCTTTTAAATCTCACACTAACCCTACTATCCTCATGTAGACCATCCCCCAAACCATCCCCAGTGCCATTGTATTGATCCCAACTCGTGGTAACCCTAGAGGGGTAGAATTGCCCCAGAGGGTTTCCAAGGCTGTGCCCTTTACAGAAGCAGACTGCCACATCTTTCTACCACAGAGCAGCTAGTACGTTCAACTGTTCATCTTTCAATTAGTGTACAAATGCTTAACCACTTGTGCCACTAGATTTATTAATTATTTTTGATTCAGAAATTCAGATTCAGAGAAGCTAAGGAACTTATATAATCTCAGATATCTAGTAAATGGAATAATCAGTTTGAGGCTTGTTATTTTTTCCCTAAAGACAGTGTCCTTTGTATTCTACATTTTGCTGTCTCTTTGGTACACTTATAAAGTGGTGTGCTATAAGCATGGGGGTGTCCATGTGGCATGGGAGGATAAGCACTGGACTGCTAACCACAAGGTTGGTGGTTTAAATCCACTAGTCACTCCTTGGGAACCCTATACAAGGTCTCTATGTGTCAGAATCAACTCATCAGCACTTAACAACAATAACAGCATAAACATGCATTATAGTTGGCTTTTGGGAAATTTGTTTCTGGAGAATATCTCAATTGATGATGTAATTGGGAGCTTTATTAACTTAGTCTATGCTCAGAACACATCTCTGAGTGGAGCAAATAGTTTGCCCTTGACTATTAACCAAAATATTGTCAGTGAATCCTACCCAAAGCTGCTGCGAAAGAAAGGCCTGGTGCTGCTTCCATGGAAAGTATGTTATTGTTATGTGCAGTGGAGTCGGTTGTGACTCATAGTGACCCTACACAGGGTTTCCGAGGCTGTACATCTTTACGGGAGCAGACCGCCTCATCTTTCTCCCGTGGAACCACTGGTAGTTTCGAACTGCTGACCTTGTAGCTCACAAAGTATAGCCAAGAAAATTCTGTGGACCAGAAGTGGTTCTGCTCTGTGATGCACAGAGTCTGTATGAGCTGAAATTGGCAGGACAGCACTTTGTTTATTTGTTTTTCTAATGGTCCAGAGGGAAGTATAAAGACATAACCAGTCTTCAGGAGCATCATTCAGATGCTCAGTGTAAATGAGTTGGGAGTGATAGACATAGCAGATAGTCTGAGACTACAGCGGACTCTACCATTTTATAATTATGAGTAATCAGAGTATTCAGACGTGTTTGTAAGAAAAATGATAGCTGATAAGGCCTCCATTCACTCTAGAAGGACAGTCACAAGCAACACATAATTTCTGCTTTTCTGTGACACTAATCCGAAGGGATGAAGCTTGATCCTCTGTAAAATGGACTGAGACGACTGGAACTCTGTGTGACTGACTTGCTTGTCTAGTGTTGCTATAAAAGAAATACCACAAACTTCATTTTCTCACAGTTTGTTGCTGTTGCTAAGTTTTGTCAAGTCGGTTCTGACTCATAGCGGTCCTGTGTTTTTAAGGAGCGGCTGGTGAGTTTGAATCACTGACTTGTCCATTGGCAATCCAGTGCTTATTCTACAGTTTAAAAGACTAGAAATCCAAGGGGTGCCAATTCTAGGGAGAAGCCTTTCTCTTTCTGTCACCTCTGGAGGAAAGCCCTTGTCGCTTCTGCTTTCTCATTCCCTGGGGATGTCCATGGGTCTGTTTGCCTGTTTAATGCTAACTGTAAGGTTGGTGGTTCCCACTAGCTGCTTCTATATAAGGTCATTATTCATCAACTGACTCAAGGACAGGTAACAATAAAAACAATTCAAGAAAGATTAGCTCAAATACATCATTCATGAATTCTGCCTCAACAATGTAACAGAGAAACCATTCTTAAATGGGATCATAATCACAGGCATAGAGGTTAGGATCTACAACATAAATTTGGTGGGGGGGGGAGGGAGGAGGGGAGGGTGCATGATTCAACCTGTAGCAGTGACTGAGAGCCAAGAAACTTCCAGAAATGGATCAAGGAGGTATTTGCAAGGTGCATGGAAGAGTTAGGTAGAAAATGGACCCTTGTAGTATCTAATAGTCATTCCAGGGAGGGGTGCTGATCAAAATGGGAGAGAAAACCTGAGGGTTTACATAAAGATACTATTTTTTTTTTTTTTAACAAAACAACAAACACTTATGTATCATGTACAATGTACCAGACAGCATTCTATTAACATGAAACTTTTTTTACACTTGCTGTTGTTAAGAGCTGTTGTGTAGAGTTTCCAAGGAGTGGTGAATTTGAACCACCAACCTTGTAGTTCAAATGACCTTGTGGTTCAGTGTTTATCCTAAAGCACTACACCAACACTCTTTAAAAAAAAACAAACAAACTTTAGCTTCATGTAAATTCAAAAAAAAAAAAAAATTGCTATAATCTTTGCTCAAATTCAGTGAAATAGTTATTAAATAGGTGGCAGCTCATTTATCATAATGTTCCCTGTGAAATCGTCTGGACAAAGGCTTTGGAATTTAAATTAAATTAGGAGAAACATGAGTTAGCGGGAAGCATCCAAATATGTGTTTAGTTATAAGTCATGCCTACTAGTAGCATTATACTGAAAGTCAGGTGTGAATTCCCAAATGGGGTCACTTAAGGGAACCTTCAGTCAAATGATACTCATTTAAGCTATTGTTAGCTCTAAACTTGACTTCAAGACGTTTAATTGTTATATTTCCAAAAAGTGCTTTTTAGTTAAGCTATTTTGTAAACCCTTTTTGGAATATAAAGTATGTTAAAGAAAGTTTTAAGTGAGATCTCTTTAAAATGTTGGAAAGTATAAGTGGAGAAAACTTTTAAAGATATTTAGCTTTATTTCTTTTGTATACCTACAGGACTTGAGCTAGGATGTTAGTTAAAGCATCAGCAAGTAGAGATTGTTAAGAAATATGATTTGATGAACAGATAAGAGTGATCTCTGATCACTTCATCACTGATCTTATTTTAAAGGAACACAAAAGCATTTGAGAAATCATTTTTCCTTCAACTTTATAATACTCATTTTGTGGCAATTTCTCTTTTCTTAGACAGGAAACATAAATTTTAGACCAGCTAAAATAACCAGATAACCACATAACTGGATAACCACAATAGAAAGGAACCCGAGGGCTTTGCAGAGTGTTCTTGAACATGTTCATTTTCTACAGAACATTGATTCCCTATTTTCAAATTATTTTCCAGGATCCTGCAAACCAAAAATGTGGTGGAAGAAAGAAAACTGTGTCTTTCAGCAGCATGCCTTCGGAAAAGAAGATTAGCAGTGCAAATGATTGCATCAGCTTCATGCAAGCTGGCTGTGAACTGAAGAAAGTTCGGCCGAATTCTCGCATTTACAATCGATTTTTCACTCTGGACACAGATCTCCAAGCTCTTCGCTGGGAGCCTTCCAAGAAAGATCTGGAGAAAGCTAAGCTTGATATTGCTGCCATAAAAGAGATCAGACTGGGGAAGAACACGGAAACATTTAGAAACAATGGTCTTGCTGACCAGATCTGCGAGGACTGTGCCTTTTCTATACTTCATGGGGAAAACTATGAGTCTCTGGACCTTGTTGCCAATTCAGCTGATGTAGCAAACATCTGGGTGTCCGGATTACGTTACCTGGTTTCCAGAAGCAAGCAGCCCCTTGATTTCATGGAGGATAACCAGAACACACCAAGGTTCATGTGGCTGAAAACTGTGTTTGAAGCAGCAGATGTTGATGGCAATGGAATTATGTTGGAAGACACCTCTGTAGAGTTAATAAAAAAACTCAACCCTACTCTGAAGGAATCCAAGATCAGATTGAAGTTTAAAGAAATTCAAAAGAGCAAAGAGAAACTGACGACCCGTGTGACAGAAGAAGAGTTTTGTGAGGCTTTTTGTGAACTTTGCACCAGGCCAGAAGTCTATTTCTTACTTGTACAGATATCTAAAAACAAAGAGTATTTGGATGCCAATGATCTCATGATCTTTTTAGAAGCTGAGCAAGGAGTCACCCACATCACTGAGGATATGTGCTTAGACATTATCCGGAGATATGAACTTTCTGAAGAGGGCCGTCAGAAAGGATTTCTTGCCATTGATGGCTTCACTCAGTATTTGTTGTCACCAGAATGTGATATTTTTGATCCTGAGCAAAAGAAGGTCGCCCAGGATATGACTCAGCCTTTATCTCACTATTACATCAATGCCTCTCATAACACCTATCTGATTGAAGACCAGTTCAGGGGGCCAGCAGATATTAATGGATATGTTAGAGCTTTGAAAATGGGCTGTCGAAGCATTGAGCTTGATGTAAGTGATGGTCCCGACAACGAACCAATCCTTTGTAATCGAAATAATACGGCAACTCAACTTTCTTTTCGAAGTGTCATAGAAGTGATAAATAAATTTGCCTTTTTTGCTTCTGAATACCCACTCATCCTCTGTTTGGGGAATCACTGCTCCCTACCACAGCAGAAGGTAATGGTTCAACAGATGAAAAAGATCTTTGGCAATAAACTCTATACAGAGGCACCAACGCCATCTGAATCTTACCTCCCTTCTCCAGAAAAACTAAAAACAAAGATCATTGTGAAAGGAAAGAAGTTGCCTTCTGATTCCAATGTATTAGAGGGGGAAGTAACAGATGAAGATGAGGAAGCAGAAATGTCTCGAAGGATGTCAGTAGACCAAAATGGTGATCAGAAACAAATATGGCTCTGCAGGGAGCTCTCTGATTTGGTATCTATTTGTAAGTCTGTTCAGTACAGGGATTTTGAACTGTCTATGAAAAGCCAAAACTATTGGGAAATTTGCTCCTTTAGTGAAACAGAGGCCAGCCAGATTGCAAATGAATACCCAGAAGATTTTGTAAATTACAATAAGAAGTTCTTATCAAGAATCTATCCAAGTGCCATGAGAATTGACTCTAGTAATTTGAACCCCCAGGACTTTTGGAATTGTGGCTGTCAGATTGTGGCAATGAATTTTCAGACTCCGGGTCCAATGATGGACCTTCACACAGGCTGGTTTCTTCAGAATGGAGGGTGTGGTTATGTTCTGAGGCCTTCTGTCATGAGAGATGAAGTTTCTTACTTCAGCGCAAATACAAAGGGCATCGTACCCGGGGTTTCTCCTTTAGCTCTTCATATCAAGATCATCAGTGGCCAGAATTTCCCAAAGCCCAAGGGAGCATGTGCCAAAGGGGATGTCATAGATCCCTATGTCTGCATAGAGATTCATGGAATTCCTGCCGATTGTTCAGAACAAAGAACTAAAACTGTACAACAAAACAGTGATAATCCTATTTTTGATGAAACTTTTGAGTTTCAAGTTAACCTACCTGAGCTGGCCATGATCCGTTTTGTGGTTCTAGATGATGATTACATTGGGGATGAGTTTATAGGACAATATACAATACCATTTGAATGTCTGCAGCCCGGATATCGACATGTCCCCCTGCGCTCTTTTGTGAGTGACATCATGGAGCACGTAACCCTTTTTGTTCACATAGCGATAACTAACCGGAGCGGAGGAGGGAAGGCACAGAAGCGCAGCCTTTCGGTGAGAATGGGGAAGAAAGTTCGGGAATATACCATGCTCAGGAACATTGGTCTCAAAACCATAGATGACATCTTTAAAATAGCAGTTCACCCCTTACGAGAAGCCATAGAAATGAGAGAAAACATGCAGGTAGGAAAAAAATCTCATTACTTACCTCTTCTACTCATACATTTTTTTTCTTCTTACTTCTTTTACTCTTAAGCACTGTTTTTAAATAAAATTTCCCAAACCCTTCACAAATGATCAGAATGTTTGTATAAATTTACGTACCATTGAATCAAGTTTAATATTGCCTGTGATAAAGAAGATATATTTTTAAGTTTTTAACAGAGATGATATGCTAAGTTTTCCAATCAGTCGCATATCAACATAAAATCAAATGCTATTGTACATTAAATATCCCTATTATGTAGCCAAATCATGTATATAAATACGCACATGAAAAAGTAGAATGTAAATATATGTATATAATATGTAAATTACTATCTATACACACCTACATATAATTTACAAGTGTAATCTATAAAATATTTACAGATTTGAACATGAAAGATAATGTGAAGCCATACTTAAAAAAAAGAAATACAATGCCTAATAAATTAAGTTGCTTAAATATATAACAATGGTAATAATAAAGATATTGTTGTTGTTGTTAGGTGCCATTGAGTCGGTACAGACTCAGGGACTTTATGCACAGAAGGACAAAACACTGTCCGATTCTGGGCCAACCTCACTATTGTTGCCATGCTTGAGCACATTGATGTTGCCTCTTGGCCAATCCATCTCGTTGGGGGTCTTCCTCTTTTTTCTCTGACCCTTCACCTTACCAAACATATCATTCTTCAGCAACTGGTTCCTCCTGACAATATGTCTGAAGTATGAGAGATGAAATTTGGCCATCCTGGCCTCAAGGGAAGAAAGACTCTGGCTGCACTTCTTCCAAAACAGATCTGTTGATTCTTTTGGCAACCCATGGCACTTTCAATATTCTCCTCCAACACCATAACTCAAAAGCATCAATTCTTCTACAGTCTTCCTTATTCACTGTCCAGCTTTCACATGCATATGAGGTTATTGAAAATACCATGGCTTGGGTCAGGTGCACCTTAGTCCTCAAGCTGACATCTTTGTTCTTCAACACTTTTAAAAGGTCTTGTGCAGCAGATTTGCCTAATGCAATACGTCCTTTGATTTCTTGACTGCTGCTTCCGTGAGTGTTGATAGTTGATCCAAGAAGAATGAAATCCTTGACAACGTCAATCATTCCTCCGTTGATAATAATGTTGTTTATTGGTCCAGTGGTGAGGATTTTTGTTTTCTTTACATTGAGATGTAATCCACACTGAAGGCTGTGCTCTTTGATCTTCATCAGTAAATGTTTTAAGTCCTCTTCACTTTCAGCAAGCAAGGTTGTATCATCTGCATATTGCAGGTTGTTAATGAGTCTTCCTCCAATCCTGATGCCACATTTTTCTTCATAAAACCCAGCTTCTTGTATTATTTGCTCAGCATACAGGTTGAATAAGTATGGTGAAAGAATACAACACTTTCACAGACCTTTCTTAATTTTAAACCATTCAATGTTCCCATGTTCTGTTCGAACAAGTGCCTCTTGGTCCATGTGCAAATTCCTCATGAGCATAATTAAGTGTTCTGGAATACTCATACTTTGCAATGTTATTCATAGTTTGTCATGATCCACACAATCAAAAGCCTTTGCAAAGTCAACAACGCACAGGTAGACATCTTTCTGATATTCTGTGCTTTCAGCCAAGATCCATCGGACATTAGCAATGATATCCCTTGTTCCATGGCCTCTTCTGAATCTGGCTTGAACCTCTAGAAATTCTCTGTCAATGTATACTTGCAGCAATTTCTGTATTACCTTCAGTAAAACTTTACTCACATGGGATATCAAAGATACTGTCTGATGATTCCTGCATTCCATTTGGTCACCTCTCTTTGGAATGGGCGCAGATATGGCCGTCTTCCAATCAGTTGGCCAGATAATTCTTTTCCAAATTTCTTGGCATAAATGAGTGAGTGCCTCCAGCATGGCCTCACTTTCTTGAAAGATTTCAATTTTTATTCCATCAATTCCTTGAGCCTTGTTCTTTGCCAATTCCTTCAATGCACCTTGGACTTCTTCCTTCAGTATCGTTGGCTCTGGATCATATGCAACCTCTTGAAACATTTGAACATCAACCATTTCCTTTTGGTACAGAGACTCTGTGTATGCCTTCCATCTTCTTTTGATGCTTTCTGCGTCATTCATTAATTTGCCCAGAGAATCCTTCAATAACGAACACTGAGGCGTGAATTTTTTCTTTAGTTCCCACAGCTTGAGAAGTGCTGAACGTGTTCTTCCATTTTGATTTTCTGACTCCAGATCTTTGTACATTTTGTTGTAATACTTGGCTTTATCTCCTCGAGCTGATCTTTTAAATTTTCTGTTCAGCTCTTGTACCTCCTCATTTCTTCCATTTGATTTAGCATCTGTATGCTGGAGAGGTAGTTTCAGTGTCTCTTCTGACATCCAGTTTGACCTTTTCCTTCTTTCTTGTCTTCTTAATGACTTTTTGCTTTCTTCATGTATGATGTTCTTGATGTCATCCCATAACTCGTCTGGTCTTCTGTCTTCAGTGTTTAATGTATGAAATTTGTTCTTTAGATGATCTCCAAATTCAGGTGGGATATATTCAAGGTCATATTTTGGCTCTCGTGGACTTGTTTGCATTTTCTTCAGCTTGAATTTGCATATGAGCAATTGGTGGTCTGTTGCACAATCTGCTTCTGGGCTTTTTTTTGACAGATGGTATGGAGCTTTTCCATCTTCTCTTTCTGCAGATGTAGTCAATTTGATATCTATGTATTCCATCTGGTGAGATCTTATGACATCTTATGATGTCTAAAGAAAGTGTTTGAAATAAACAAATCATTGATTTTGCAGAATTTCATCATGTGATCGCCAGCATCATTTTCTATCACCAAGGCCTTATTTTCCAACTACTGATCCTTCCTCTTTGCTCCCAACCTTTGCATTCCTATCATCCGTAATGATCATTACATCTTGATTGCATGTGTGATCAACTTCAGATTGAAGAGGGTAGAATTATTCTATTTCATCCTCACTGGCTTTAGTGGTTGGTGAATAAATTTGAATAATAGTGGTATTAATTGGGCTTTCCTGTAGGCGCATGCATATTACCCTATCACAGACAGCATTGTACCTCATGACTGATCTGCATATGTTCTTTTTGACAATGAATGCAACACCATTCCTCTTAAATTTGTCATTCCTGGCATAGTAAACCATGTGGTTGGTCATCAGATTCAAAATGGCCAATACCAGTCCATTTAAGCTCACTAATGCCTAAGATAATGATGTTTATATGTTTCATTTCATTTTTCACAATTTCTAATTTTCCTTTATTTGGTCAAACATTTAATTATTTCACCCCTAATGCAACAGATCCATTTTGGAAGAAGTGCAGCTAGAGTTCTCCTTAGTGGCCAAGATGGCCAAATTTTGTCTTTCATACTTCAGACATCTTGTCAGGAGGAACCAGTCACTGGAGAAGGATATCATGTTTGGTAAGGTGGAGGGTCAGAGAAAAAGAGGAAGTCCCCCAATGAGATGGATTGGCCAAATGGCAGCATCAATGGACTCAAGCATGGCAACAGTAGTAAGGTTGGCCCAGGATCGGACCTTGTTTCGTTCTGCTGTGCATAAGGTTGCTATGGGTTGGTACCGACTCGATGGCCCCTAACAACAACAACAACGATAATGCAATGGCTGGAAATGCAGTTGCCTTGGCATGGCCAACGCAAATAAGTTCATGGGTTGGTTTGAACCACAATATCAGCAGTTCAGGCTCACCATCTGCTCCTTGAAAAACCTATACAGGGTCGTTATGGTTGGGAACCAACTCAATGGCTTTTATCAAGAATAACAACAACATATGGCCTTCAGTCTGGGAATTCCCCAGCCCTGGTTTGCAGTCTCAGAAATCCTACATGGTTGCTGTGAGTTGGAATCAATTTAATATCAGTGGGGTTTGGTTTTGGAGTCTTCTCTTAGATGTGTGGTTTAATGGAAAAACAACAACAACAACAAACATGGTTCTAGATTAAAACCCATCTCAGTGTGATCTTGAATAAATAATTTCAGTTATCTGATAATAAACAATTTTCTCCAAATAGGGTAAGAATAAACAACACAGAATAAAATTATAAAAATTATTAAATTAGAACATACATACATTTCCCAACTCTGAAATTGAGAAATTTAATATTTGTTTTCTTCTATTCATTAATAGTTATAATTGAGAAATGTTTTCAAACTTTTTTCAACTCTATCTACCTAAAGTATATTTAATATATTTATTTCAAGCTAATATTGTCAAGAAACAATCAAGCCAGAAATATTTACTAAGTACCTGCAATTTGCAAGGAAGTGATGCATGACAGAAACAGTAGCAAGTTTATGTATGAGTGCAAAATAGTAGGAGAATATCATTCTATTTAATTGATTTATTCCATTAATTAATATAGTAATCCTCACCAAAAAATCCCTACTTTTAAGATAGAAACAAACTTGAAGAGGTTAACTAATTTCCCTAATATTGCAGTTAATAAATAATAATGTTGGATTTCAAATCCAGGGCTGCCTAGTACCAAAACTCATGATCATGCATATGTTTTAGTTACATGATGTAGAAACTCAAATTCACCACTTGGTGAAAACCATTTATATTACTTCATGGAGAAGAAATTCTAGGCTAGAGGTAATATCAATCAACTTTGAATAGTGGGAAAGTGTTGGTCTATAAATCAGATAAAAATATGTAGGTTATAAGCATTTAACTTGAGGTTGGTTGCCTTGGCCACTGTTTTAAACACAGACTCCAAATGTCAGTATCCATAATTTAATTTTCACTTGATGTAACTCTAGAATGATTACAAATACATACATGAGGTTAGTTATAAATCACACCACTCATCTATCATAAAACCCAAAAAAACCAAACCTACTGCCATCGAATCAATTCCTACTCAGAGTGACCTTATCGGACTGAGAGTTGCTCCATAGGTTTTCTGAGGCTATCCATCTGTATGGAAGCAGACTGCTTGAGGGAAAGATGGGTTCAAACTGCAGCCTTACCATTAATATCCCAATGCTTAATCCACCACACTACCAGGGCTTCTGGGTCTGAATCTGTTACAAACCATTCATACATCTAACTTCGTATATGATAAATAGATGTTTCTAAATAATTTTTAATGTATCTTTCAGATAATTGATATTTTATATTTAAAATACATGTTAAGTAAAGTTGGTTATAAGGTAATGTTTTTTCAGGCAGGATGGATAACTTAGCTTAAGAGCATTTCAACATAATGTCTTTGGGGTTAAGGATGATTTGGAAGCTAACCATTAAGAACATGAACACCATCACTGTCACTAAATTCATGAAATACATAGTAGGTTAGGCACTGTTCACCCATGAATAGGATGTAAAATAGTTCTAATTCCTATTCCAAGTGAGTTGTTTTTAAGAAGGACAGATGTAACTTTATATGAAATATGTTTGCAGTGTGTGTGTCTGTAGGTGTGTCTGTGAGGTGCCTTTCTGATGGGATGACAAAGGATACTCTAGATGGTAAGTCACATGGGGGATGGGAAATAATAGCAGTCTGCTAGCTTGAAAGGATGAACCCTAAGGAGATGCCTTCCAGTGTATAGTCACTGACATTACATTTTCATGATCACCATGATCCAAATCAACTAAGGTATTCACTGCCAGCCCATGCTAATTTGTAATGTCGGTGTTCTCTTTTGAAAAACACTGTGTAGTCTTGGGGAACAATCTGCTTTGTTTGATGGTATGTTTGTGGCAGTTGCCCAACATTGAGAAAGATGAAATGTAGTAGTGAGTTAGCTCTCGGACACACGTGATCTTTTCATCCCAGTTCTCCGTGAACTTTCTGAAGTCTGTTTGTCTATGGGTATCATCTGTGAAATGCTGTCGCGCTATGCCATGTGGCCAGAATTGTGATTCTATGTTTTTTTCCTACAGAATGCCATAGTGTCTGTTAAGGAGCTATGTGGACTCCCTCCAATTGCCAGTCTGAAGCAATGCCTGCTGACCCTGTCCTCTCGGCTCATTACCAGTGACAATATGCCCTCAGTCTCACTAGTGATGAAAGACAGTTTTCCTTACTTGGAGCCTCTGGGGGTGATTCCAGATGTGCAGAAAAAGATGCTAGCCGCTTATGATCTGGTAGGAAATTGTGGCCCTATATTTCTTACTTGTCTGTGGGGGAAATTACTAATAGTAGGGAATATTTTGTGGAACTCCAACGTGTAACACAGAACGTGTGCTGGGAGTACCAGGGGAAAGCCTTATGCATTCAGCTTCCCAGAGTCCTTGCGGAGATTTTTGAGGCTCTTTCTTGAACCCAATACTTCAGTGATAGCAAATAGAAAATCTCTGTTTTTCTAAAAACGTTTAAATTCTTTATCAAGTCCTCTAAAATCTATGCAATTTCTCATCATCTAATATCTTTTGTTATTGTTGTTAAGTGCCGTTGATTTGGTTCCAACTCGTAGGGTTTCCAAGGAGTGGCTGATGGGCTTGAACCACCGACCTTTCAGTTAGCATTACAGTGCTTATCCTACAGTGCCTACAACATATTAATTTAATGATTTATCCATAAAGACTAAATTTATGTCTCAATGCTGCCTTAAAATAGTTGAGACAAAAATTTTCTCTGGAATCTTGATTTCTAAACTAATACTGTTCTGTGATTTTTGTGAATATACACCAGAGTTTATGTATTAAATAACCTTAAGGATACCTATATTTTTGCATCTCCTAATGGAATCCTGTTGTGGCATTGTAGGATAAGCACTGGACTGCTAACCACAAGGTTGATGGCTAAAACCACCAGCTGATCTTTGGAAAACCTGTACAGAGTTGCTATGAGTTGGAACTGACTACATGGAGCATGACAACAACAACAATTCAATAAACAAAATTAAGGGAAAATGGAAAACATGTATAATATAGGCAAGTTGTTTCCAACTCATAGCAACCCTGGATAGGGTCTCCAAGGTGTTCAATCTTCCAGGGAACAGAAAACCTCATCTTTCTTCTGCAGAGGGGCTGGTGGGCTTAAACCACAGATCTTGTGGTTCACAGTCCAGTGCTTATCTTATGGATTATAAATATCCTTAAAATAAAAGGATCTCTTAAAATCAGTCAGAAAAAAAAATAGGCAAAGCCTCTTATATTAGTCAGAGTTGAGTTCAACTGTCTGTAACAAAAATGCAAACTAATTATTACTTAAAAACACAAAGTTTTAATCTCTCACATAATAATCTGGAATTTGGCCACCCAATGCTAGTAAAGTTGTTGTTGTTTTTAAGCGCCGCTGAGTCAATTCCGACCCTTAGTGACCCTGTATAGGGTTTCCAAGGAGCAGCTGGTGAGCTTGAACCACCGAACTTGCAGTTCAAATGACTTTGAAATCTGATGCATTAACTTAATAAGGTACTTCTGCGAAATTCTTAGGCATCCACAATCCTTTGGGCATGCTTTTTCACCTTCTTAATGGTGTAGCCCTTATCCTCATGGTCCAAAATAGCTGCTGAAGCCCCAACCATAATAGCTGCATTTCAACTGGCAAGAAATCGAAAGAGGAGAAGAAAGACATATCTCTAAAATAGTATAAATCACTTTTGCTTGTTTTCTATCTCCCTGGAGGTGACACACAGATTTACCTGCAAAGGAGAATGGAAAATATCTCCTATTTCATGGGGTTATGTGCTCAACCTAGAGTCACCTCTTCTGTCACTGAGAAAGTAGGGGAGCATGGATATTAGAAGACAACAAACAAGCTTTGCTACAGAGATGAACAAGAAATTCAAGTGCTCTCTCCACACCCAAAATAATGAAATTGTAAAAAGATATTTAACCTTACAGTGGGTTTTGAATATTATTATTATTTTTTAATGAAAGAAATATAGTGAGATATTCCCCACCTCCTCAAACAGGCTTTTTTTCTTTCTTTTAAAAAATAATTCCTCCAATAAAGTTTGTAAGGAAATGAACACTTGTGTCCATCTATTTCTATGGGAAAATAAATTGATACCATTTGGGGAGAAAAGTTTGGCAAAGTGATTTAAAATATTTATCTCATTTGACTGATGTGTTTCCTTTCCAGGGACTCATTCTAGCCAACTGAGATATACATAAATATTTATGTTAAAAATGTTTAATAGTAGAGAGATTTGTTAAATAAAAGATTTATTATTGTTAAGTTCCATCAAGTTGATTATGAATTATAGTAACCATGTATAAGATTCCCAAGGAGTGGCTGGTGGATTTGAATCACTGACCTTATAGTTAGCAATCCAGTACTCACCCTAAAGCACCACAACAGGATTCCAAATAATATAAGAATCTATATTATGAACTCATCTGACACTTTGTCATATTGCAGTGGCATGTGTGTTGCTGTGATACTGAAATCTATGCCACCAGTCTTTTAAATACCAGCAGGGTCATCCATGGTAGATAGGTTTCAGCTGAGCTTCCAGATTAAGACAGACTAGAAAAAATGTGATATGGACTACTTTTGAATATTTAGCGCTGAAAGCCTTATGAATAGCCATGGAACACTGTAAAATACTGCCAGAATATTGAATATTGAAGCACTATGAATAGCACCAGAATTTTTTCAGATATACTGACAAAATTAACTCCTCCGATTGGAAGGTATTCAAAATACTACTGGGGAATAGCTGCTACTCAAAATAGAGTTGACCGTTGTTGCGGACTGTGTAAGACTGGTCAGAGGTTCGAGGCCCTAAAGGCCCGAGTGTAACAAATGAGGCCACTGGCAGTTAATGGCAAATTGTTTTTTATCTTAATATTGTTACATGTATTAATTTAATACACGGAGTTCTTGATAATCCACAGATAAATTTGATATTTTCCTAAAGCGAGACTAAAGGTTGCAAGGTTAAGCCTTTCCCCAAAGGATTAACTAAAAATATCTTAGCTACTTCTCGGTTCTTTCTTCTATAGACACAGAACCCATCCTCCCTAATCCTTTTCCAGGTGCAGCCCATTCACCTGGGCTGCTCGAGTCCTCCTGCAGACCTGGCTCAGGAAGCCGAAGCAGCGGGACTCGGCCCAAGCTTTTGTCATTACTCTCACCTTCCCCCCCACCTGAGCTCAGGGCCTATAGATATGTTAATTGGGCCTGAGAATCCAAGTTGCTGGCCTGGGATTTGAGCCAGTGAAGTACGATGTAAAGCTACCTGAATGTCTGGAAAAGTACGGATTTTAGCTGTACCTTGCCTAAGTCCCTCCCAGGTTGATGTGAAGCTCCTCCCCTGAATAAAGCAGAGGCCCGGGCCTCCCCAGGTGTGCATTACATGTTGGAGGGCATGCAGTAAAGATTGCAGTGCATTACAGGCTGGAGACCATGCGGTAAAGATTGCAAGGCAGTGAGTTGCTGCCTGCAGAGGCCACGATGCCTGTACTCCCAAGCCTGCCCACCAGTGATGTATCCACCCTGGCTTTGGGGTGCCTCATTGTCTCTCTCTTTGTCTCTTTCTGTTTATTCTTGATATATTGTTACCACCGTCAGGTATCTCCTCCTCGTGAACCGAACCCCTATGTCGAGGCAGGTCCCCGGCAGACCGTGATGACAGGACTAGAGTAAAGCTTTCAGGACTTTTGTTTGCTGATGGGACACAACTCAGATGAGCAGAAACAGCTGTAAACATCCATTAATAATGGGAATATGGAAAGTATGAAATATGAATCTAAGAAAATTAGTAGTTGTCAAAAATTAAATGGAACACATAAACAATATCCTAGGCATTAGTGAGCTAAGATGGGCTGGTATTGACCATTTAGAATCTGACAATCATATGGTTTACTTTGCGGGAATGACAAATTAAAAAAGGAATGGCGTTGCATTCCTCATCAAAAAGAACATTTTAAGATCTATCTTGAAGTAAAATACTGTCTGTGATAGGCTAATATTCAAACACCTACAAGGAAGACAAGTTAATACCAGTATTGTTCAATTTATGCACCAACGACTAAAGCCAGTGATGATGAAATTGAAGAATTCAATCAACTTCTTTGATCAAACATTCAAACATGATGTATTAATAATTACTGATGATTGGAATACAAAGATTAGAAACAAAGAGGAAAGATCAGTTGTTGGAAATTATGGCCTTGGTGATAGAAATGTTGCTAGAGAAAGCATGATAGAATTTTGCAAGACAATGACTTCTTCATTGCAAATACCTTATTTAAACAACATAAAAGAATACTATATACATGGAGTTCACCAGATGGAATACACAGAAATCAAATTGACAATATCTGTATGAAGAGACATTGGAAAAGCTCCATATCATAAACCAAAACAAGGCCAGGGGCAAACTGTGGAACAGACCATCAATTGCTCATATACAAGTTCAGACTGAAACTGAAGGTTCTTAAAACAAGTCCATGACAGTCAACGTAGGACCATGAATACATCCCACCTGAATTTAGAGATCATCTCAATAACAGATTTGATGCATTAGACACTAATGACCGAAAAACAGAAGAGTTGTGGGATGACATCAACAGCCTCATACAGGAAGAAAGCAAAAGGTCATTAGGAAGACAATAAAGAAGGAAAAGACCAAAATGGATGTCAGAAAAGACTCTGAAACTTCATCTCCAACATAGAAATGCTAAAGCAAATGGAAAAAATTAGTAGGTAAAAGAGTTGAATGAAAAAGTTCAAAGGTAGCTCAAAAAGACAAAGTTGAATAATATAATGAAATGTGTAAATACCTGAAGTTAGAAAACCAAAAAGGAAGAATAGGCTCAGCATTTCTCAAACTAAAAGAACTGAAGAAAAATTCAAGTCACGACTTGTAATGTTGAATAATTCTATGGATGAAATACTGAATAATGTGCAAAGCTTCAAAAGAAGATGGAACGAACAATCCGAGTTACTGAACATAAAGAAATGACCTATTTTCACCCATTTCAAGTGGTAACATGATTAAGAGCCAATGGTAATGAAGGAAGAAGTCCAAGGTGCACTGAAGACACTGGCAAAGAACAACACTCTGGGAATTGATGGAATACAAATTGAAATCTGTCAACAAACTTATATGCAGCACTGGAAGCTCTCACTCATCTATGCCAAGAAATTTGGAAGACAGCTACCTGACAATTGATTGGAAGATATCCAT